GGAAGATTTAAATTGTACTATTTCGGATACTATTTGGCATATTTAATTAATCAAAATGCCTTTTACAACGAGTTCCACCAGAAGAGACAAGTGTAACTATAGGTCTTTCCTTCAATTTCTTAGAAAGGAGTAATTTCGTAGATTTTTAGAGGTGCATTGTTATAGGAAGAGAGTCTACAGGGTGGCCGAAGTATAAACTTGGTAATTTCAAACTTTAATTAAATTTAGATTTGTAGGGAAGTTCGGAGTTTTCAATTAAATTTTAGCGATCGTTTTCTCTGCATTTTGTTAAAGAATGCATAAATACAAAAGTAAAGTGATCCAAAGGAAATAACTGTAGATTCAGAAATGCACTACAGACATGCATGTTTGACGTGTGAAAACGTTGAGCATAAAATCGAAATTGCTATTACAATTACCTAAATGTACGTACATCGCTTTTGAGCGCAGCGTTGATATTGTTAAACAAAATTAATTTCCTTTGATATCCTAGTAACATAAGGGGTACAAGATTTATCGTAGAAAAAAAAAACAAATGTGCCATGTCACATACTCAAATTTAACAAGCTATGAGTGCAAGTTTAAGAATGTGCTTTTCTCAAATAGTCGCTATTCACAGCCGAGCAATTTTCAAGGACCACCTAACCAACCGAGATTTTTAAAATCGATCATCCTCTGGAAAATTAAGCTTTTATAGGTCATATAATATTAATTTATCCATCAAAATTGTTATTCGCTATTATACACGTGCATTTTTTCTTAAAGGAATCAGTGCACTGAAAATTGTCCTATGTGCACCTATTTTAATGAAAAATATTATTGTATATATAAGTCAATCTCTTATTTAACGGATGGGGTATTTTAAAGTGACCCTTACAGCGAGTTGAATAAACCCCTTTAAAAAATGTATCTATACGTCAAAAATTACCAGTATGAACCTTTGACCTAATTACTAATTTGTTTTCTATAACAACACGACAAAATTTCAACCGCTTGTTGCGATATTTTTCCAATAAGCCCGCCGGACATCGTTTCAGCATATAATAAAGTTTAGCTTCCTTTTTAATTAATTCTTAATTAGAATTTGTGTTTACTTACTACAGCAATAAAACAGTTGACTATCGATTCGGGTCCCTTTAATTAAAATAGCCAAATACTTTTCATTAAAGTGGGGTAATCGAATGGTAAATTGTATTTATTAGACATTTCGATCGACATCGGTACCTGGCTATTAATAATTTTCCGTTGGGTCCTCCGCACTATTTTATATTTCTTTAATCCTCCCGCAAAGTGACAAGTGTCACCTCGATTTTGAAAAGCCGTCATTTTACCATTAGGTTGACTCGTATAAGTAGTTATCAGATGAATGTCACGTTTTATCACGCAGTGGTAAATTGGGACGGTACGAAATTTTATTGTAAGTATTTCTAACATGATGGTTTATAAAGTGACTGTAAAACTATATAGTTGCTTCGTATTATGCTGGAACTGCCTATAATTATGAAAACATTTTCTCTAAGTATAACCTTTATCGCATTCTCTATTCAATAAGAAATCCCCCTGTCGATTGAAGCTGTCTTTATAGGTAGAAAATGTCTTTCCATTCCAATTATTTATTATATCACATCTTATTCGATCAGCGCCTGCCTAATTCTTTATCAGACACTGCGGTTACTAACGGCTCATGGGCAATATTTCATGCAGTAAAGATTTATTAAAAATGGTCATTAGACCAGAGGAATTATAACGATTTTGCCCGAAAGTTCTAAATTTTTGCAAACAGTTCGTATCGAAATGCGATTTTCGGCGCAGAAAAATCCGAAGAAAAATGGTGTACAATACTGGTTGAGCCATTTTTTGAAAATTGCGTGAGGGGTACAAAAAAACCATTATTTGCAAAATTATAAACATACGCTATACGAAAAGGTGGAGAAATCGCTTGTTACTCGGAGTTTTCGCGGTCGTCCAGTCCATGTCCCCACCGAATTGTCAGGGGTGGTGCTATGGGAGTACCGTGCCGTGAAAAATTAACCGTGCCGAGAAATTGTTCGGAAATCGTTACTCGGGGCAACTGTGGCTATCACTTTGAAGCAATTCCCACAGAAAATTTTCGTACACCAACGAAGGATTCAAACCTATGAAGGTCAATGCAACATCGAATTAGGTGTAAAAAAACAATCAAATGTAATTTGGTTTTGTTTGTGGTAGTTGGTATTTTAGGGGTACCGTAAAATTTCTTTGGATTTTCATTTCATCTTACCAAATTATTCAATCAACTTTCAAAAAAGAAGAAATTATTCCAAAAATGTAATTTAAAGCGTAAAGAATTTTAATTAGAAAGCAAAAATTTATTTTTTCTGTTTGTTTTAATACTACTTAACTAGGGGAATTGATTTTAAACCAGTTGATAATTGTTAATGTTTTAGGAAAATAGTATCTAAGTATTTGGACAAATCCATGCAGAATAATTAACAGTAAAATTGTAACAGTGGTTATGAAATGCAGCTGTTGCCATAAATCTCACAAATTTGTTGTGTATGATAGTTATTAACCCCAAATTTTAACTATTTGAAGAAAGGTTGTGAATTTTTTATATATGTGGTAAACCAAAAGCTACTAAATACCGTTCAACCATTTAATCAATTTCATTGTCAACCGGATTGAAAACTGACCGGCCGCGTAAAGAAGGGTTAAGTGACCTCAGCCTTTCAGGTAAAATACAATGATAATTTAATATTTTTTGGAACCGTGGTGAAGTTATTGAACCGATTAAGCGATATGTACTGTCAAGCTTACCCCAATTTTGAATACTCTAAATGTTCAAAAACCCTACAGCCACTTACATCATATCTACTTCATATTTAGCATAGATCTAAAAAGATAAGTATAAATGTATAAAGACGTGGGTAGGTATTCCATTTAAAATAACGAAATGAGGTAAGTCAACTTTCAGTATCATTAGAAAATATCTGGGATGAAACAATACCATGAAACTAATTCATTCAGAAAGATTTTCTTAACCTACGAAGATGGTTTTAATCTCAGATTCTACCAAACTTAGAAAATCTTCAAAACGAACCCGGTACCAACACTGAACATCATTTTGGAAGTGTATAGGGTGGGTTTGTACAACCGCTTCGTCTATTTTGCATCATATTTAAAAGTAAAAGCAAAAATAGAAAGACTCTATACCCTTTCAGACTCCCCCCCCCCCTCGTGGTTTTGGACGAGAATGCAACACGGGGGGGGGGTCTAAGGGTATGGAATTTCCCATTCGTCTACTCATATAAAATATACTTTTCGTATACCGGGGTCTATTCCATACCCCACCGACCCGAGTCCATGAGACCGTTCCTATACGTATATAAATATACTCCTGGTATACCGGGTGTAACTTATAAATTAAGATGGACTGCTAATGCTGAATTAACAAATGACGCCTACATGGGGGCCGCCATGGTGTGCACTCACTTGGCGCGAAATTCAAATCAGCTAATAAACAAGCACTAACCCAACATTAACCTCACGTTTTCTAAATAAATTACTGTGACACATGTCATTTTCCAAGGCTGCAATAGTCTCAAAACTTCAGCACTAGGAAAATTCCCCTAGAAAATAACTAAAATGTGCACGTCATGGCGGCGCCCATGGTAGAGCCATTTCTACCTCTATGCAACTATTTGATCAGCAGTCGATCTTAATTTATAAGTTCGTGACCGGGTGGTACACCCCTCAGATTAACAAAATCTGAGGTACACCCTCAGTGCCATGTTCGATGGTGTCTCACCGAAAACTGTACTAAGGGTGGTGAGGCAGACGATTTTGAAGGAGAAAGCAACCCTGGGCAATTTCTCCCCCCCCCCCTCCCCCCCTCCCGCGAACCATGAGACTGTTCGTATATATTCATGTAAATCTACCACGCGTCTTGCCGAAAACTGTGTCGAGAGTTTTGTGGGAGAATGAATCATTGGGGGGTCTGGAGGTATGAAATGCCCCCCCCCATTGAGGGGTATTCTATACCCCCCAGACTCCCGGTCCTACAAAAATTCCCCCAGTAAGGAAAAATTCGATTACTGTTTCCCTACAATCCAATCGAATAGTGTAATAAATACAGTGCGTTCGATATACGAGGGTCACCTCAATAAATCTTTTATTTGGCGAGATACGAAAAATTTATAGTTATGTATGGGTTATATGGGGCATTATGGTCTACCCATTGAAATTTCCGGTATCACTTCCGGTTTATCCGGAAATCGATGCAATTTTTATATTTTAAATGCAATGCCTATTTTTTTAAGATATTTGAAAAGAATAATCAATTTTCTGTACGACAACATATGCATGGGTGATATACAAAACATGATGCGAAGAATCGCATACGATTTTCAGTAGTTTTTTTTACTTTCCGACTACATACAAAGTATGTATAAAGGAAAGTATTATAATCGTGATAAATTTTCGATATGCCAATATTGCGTTATCTGGACGTTTTGAAGCACACAGACTCCAAAAAAGTGGTTTTTACCTTGACGTCTGTGTGGGTGTGGGAGAGGGTGAGGGTGTGTGTGTGACCACGATAACTAAAAAACCCCTGAACAGATTTGGACGAAATTTGGGGTGAATATGGGGAACCGAAAACGTCCTATTTTGGTTTTGATGCGTAACCATCTTCATGGTTGTTGAGGGTGTCAAAAGTTTAAAAGATCCATAACGGCTTGAAAATTTTTTTTTTTAACTTACACTGGCCAAAATGGTTTAAAAAAAACTCATGCATTACAGTTTTTTTGTGAGTTCCTTTGGTTTTGAAAAGTTTTGAATTGAAAACTTAAACTATTTATTTTATTTTTCTAATTTGCATTTTCGTTTAAAAGTAAGCATCAAAGTGAAAAGTGTTAATGACAAAAAAGGGTCTTGATGAGATCTACAAAAAAACTTCTACACTTTTTGCGTCGGATTCAAAATAAAGGCGCTAGAGGGCATTTCCTAAATGAGGCGTTGAAAGCCAAAGTGGTACAAGTCCCAAAATTGCAGTTTTGAGATAACACCGACCTCTATATGTTATTGGGGAAAAGTACCATGTGACAAAATTTAAAAATTCTCACTTTTAAATTAGACCTGTAGATTGCGCTAGTGAGATCTGCATAATAACGTTTTATTCAAATCGTTCAAAGGCAAAGTGGTACAAATGTGACTTATACCACTTTGCCATTAAATGGAATTGCAGATATATTATTAGTGCATTTTTCTTGTAATGGTGAAATGTGTTTTGTCGACATTAAAAATGAGTTGTAGTGATACTGAAAGTGAGCCACTTCCTTCTAGTGAAAGTGAGTACGAACCAGAGGATTACTCATCATCAGAGCCATCAGATTCAGGTAAGTAGGCGTGGTTACAAATTCAATGGTTGCACTTCAAGAAATCTGAGCCGTACAAAATTTTTTATAAAGAAACGCTCAATGAAGACTATCCTTTCAATGCTATTAGTTTACTGCCAAACCGAAGAGGTGCTCCTAAAATGTTCAAGGCCATCGAGCTTTCGTCTCTGTATCAGGGCCCACTTGAAATTAATGATAAAAAGAAGAAAAATATGGAAGAACTTTTTCAATTTATTCCTCCGATTCATCAAAATTACCTACTTCAAGGATGTAATTGGAAATTGTGACGTTGAAGATCCTTGAAGAATTGGAAGAAGAAGATGATGACAGTTAGTTTCCCCATTGTTTTGGAATATACTCGTGTTTTTATTTTTCATATAAATTATGTTTTATTTCCTCTTTTGGTAATAAATTTTTAAAAACGTTTTCAATTTTATTGTGTCTCATTGCAACGTTTTTTAAAGGTATAATAACTTTTTGTTCTTATTATTAGAGAGCAAAAAATCTATTATTGTGGTATACCCAAACATATATTAAAAAGTATTGAAAGTCATAGTGGTCTAAGTCACAAAAAAGGTCAAAAAGGTAACAAAATTTTAAAAATCAGGATTCAGGATTTTTTAATTGACGTGCAACTTTAGGTTAATTTATCTAAAAACAAAGTTTTTGGACTTAGACCATGCTGGCTCTCAAAGCCTCAAATGTTATACTATGACCAAAGATAATAATTGCAATGACTATTAAAAGTAGTCGGAAAGTCAAGTCAGGAGTTTACCTGATAACTAGTTTCTTTTCGAAAATTGGAGAAATTTGTGATTCAGTATTTAGAAAATTTATGAAATCTAGCATCCCGCGTGCCATATCGCACAGAAAATACCTACGGTAACTAGTTCAAGTTTCGTTTTGAAGCTTTACTTTTGCGCGATACGATGCAACAGGCACCGCGCATCCTGACAGCACACGGCATGCTAGATTTAAGACATTTGTTTGAATCATAAACTTCTCTGTTTTTTTAGATCAACCATATGCATATTTTATGTTATAAAAAAAAACAGAGAAGTTTATGATACCATATGCGTATTTTATGTTGTCGTACAGCAAATTGATTGAAAAACAAAAGTTGAACCGATTTCCGGTTACACTGGAAACGGTACCGGAACATTGAATATGCGATCGGATAGATAGATCGTAATGTCACACACAAAATTATATTTGACAAATGTTTCGTATATTGCCAAATAAAAAAGATGTTGAGGTGACTCTCTTATTTTGAACGCACTATATACTCTACGTATACATGCATACAATGATTCTGAATATTTAATACCATGTTCAGGGTATCGCTAAAGGTTTTACTGATATTATTCCAATATTAAAGAAATATGATATAGCTTTATAGAGGAGTCGATGGTGTCCGTCTCTCCGTCTGTCCGTCCGTGAACACGATAACTGTCAAACGCTTGGCCCGATTTGGTTCAAACTTTGCACAGTTAACATAAATATACCACATGTAACAAGTCAATTGAAAATGGGTGAAATCCAATGACCCCGTAGGGTCACACCGAGGTGCTAAGCCACTTTTTGAGATGCTCTTCAGGGGTTGATTCATTTTTGAAAGGTTCTACATTAGGAACTTATTCAGAGATATTTCGACGCTTGAGCAAGGGTTCTTGATTTTATATATCGTGTGAAGATTTTTAGACATTCTTTAGGGATTATATGATTGTATAACGGTTCTCAGACTTTTCGGTATTCTTTATAAACTTTTCCTCGGGGAATGTTCCTAAACTTCTATAATTTATACAGTGCGTGTTCCTCAGGAATTACGCAAATATTAAGCTTCCTGCACCTCTGCAAAAATGTTTTTCATACAATTTTCATTGCTTTTTCAGAGATTCTATTCTAAGAAACACCATTCATTGAGATTTTAGAGGCTTCGTCAGATGTACTATAAATTCTTGTCGAGAGGATCCATGAGGAATGTAGGAATAATTTTTTACGTATTTCTTAAGTATCCTCGAGGAACCTCTCGAAATCCTCTGGACAAGCTCTGAACACTAACTGAAAAAAATGGAAAGGAATTTCAAGAATCGATCATCATTATGTGATTTCAAGATCTGTGAAGTAGTTAAAGGTTTTCTCCTAAGCAGCACATGGCACACCAAGCCCTTGTAACCATTTATAATAGTCAATTAGTCATACGTAATGTGACCTGCTCTGATGTCGGATACCGACGTTCGTGCTATTTGGGTCTGAGAAAGCTGGACATGAGACCATTGGGCAGTAAAGTTCTATTTTAGAAAGTTGATTAACTCCAAAATCATGGAAGTACCTACAACATTTGTATCATGCAAGAAAGAATGGCATAAAATCGAAGTGATGGAAGTTTTTCACAGCTCTACTTTACACGTGAAGTTGGGAATAATTACTGTACAACCAGAAACTGGAGATATTTTGACGTCGATACTTTCTATTTCAAACGAAGAGGAGCTGCACATTTTTATAGGATAATCCGCCAACACGCATTATAAGACACAACATGGTAACAAAATTGAGAACGAATACGAAGAATAAGAATCGGACTCAATCCGTACCCATTAAAGGCTTTGTCGGCATCTTTGTGTCACAATTTTCGATTGAAGGCCTATGTACATTTTATGCAAATTTGTGCAGACTCCGTAAAAGTGCTTAACAATTAAATTGTTCTGTAATTATTAAAAATTAATGTACAGAAAGCATCTTTCGGAGCGCTGTCTCTTTGGTATGTAAATCGATTAGGGAGGGTTGGTTTGATTTCAAAATGGAGGGCTTTAAAACCCTTTTGAAGCTTTTTGTTTGCAGAGGTAATAATTTTTTTAAGCTGCAGATATAAACATCGACATAAGTGCTTTGTTGGCAATACATCAAGTTACACAGTATCAAAAATATAATTTCATGAGAGTATTAGCGTAGAAAGTGGAGAGAAATAATGTACCTACGTCTGCAAGTCTAGTTTTCTATTTCAAACAATTTCTAAAAGGCATCTATCACAGAGACGCGAAAAGACTGTCACCATACGACGGCCTACAATGATTAATTAAGCAATTTGGTTGTTAACAACGTAAAACCGTAGGTCCGCAATTGGCTAAAACTAAACCAAAATCCTATTTCTTTAACCTACACAAACAACCGATATCGAATGTACTTTTTCGGAAAAAAATTTAAATTGTAAATGTGTGTCATGCAATCGAGTTGCGGTTTTACGAACAAATAGCGAAAATTAAACCAGTAAATGGGAGCATAGCCGTTTCTATTTTGTTATACGTTTTATGGGAATAAATTAAGGTTTTTAATATCCACAATAAAGCGCAGATCATTAATTTGAACCATCGGAAAAGGAAGTATTGTTCATATATTCAGCATTGGAAAGTTTTAAAGCGAAGCTTACAGGAACCCAACTTTTCGGCGCAGGTATTTTACAATAAATCCCAGAAGTTTGCGACTCCCATTCGTATTCGACGAAATAGGTATGTATGCCTACACACGGAAGGTTCGAGGTATAATCTATTCTTGCATTAAAATTCATTTAAACCAGCTTTGTCATTTATTTAATCTCTTCGAGATAATTATTATAAATTCCTTGTTTAAAATAAAGTTCGCGGTTAGTGCCTTAATTAAACTGAAATGACGGGGACGATGTTGTTATATTATATAACAGGATGGTAAGACGTGGTGGGAATATTAAAAGACGATGTGAGACTCCAAAGTATTTCAAAAGAACCCAATTTACATTTAACTTGTAAGCTTGTTTAAGTGTGATAGATACAACCATTAAAGTTTTCCCTGTATTTTAGGTTCGCGTGGCAAGGGAACATTCTCGTGATTTGCAATTGGTCGATAGCGTAAAGTGGCAATTTTTGCTTCATTTACTCTTTTCAAATTGTTGTTTCGATTAATTTCACATGAAGTGCGTTTCAAAATTGGGGTTGCGCTTATAAAACGAAATTGCAAAGAAAGGGATTTCGCGCGATGTGGGATGAATTTTGGTTCTACAAAAACAAATGGTTCTACAATGCAAAGTAGTTGTTTACAAACTTCTAGAAACTCCAGTTGGGAGTGTAATTAAAGTCAACAGAGACCGCATGGGAGCCTGTGTTATTCAACAACATGACACAGCGTTTTTAATTCGTTTATTTATTTTAGAATTAGCGGTTTGTAATTCGGCGTTAAACAATTTTAAGCTGCCGAAAAAAGCACCTACAGAATGTGCCAGCCTTTTACATCTTTAATTTCGGTTCGTTAAATAATGTTTTTCGAACACCATTTCCAATTTTTAGGGGAAGCTTTTTGTATTAATCCAAAGTGCGCAACCTGCTGTAATTACGTTTTTATATAAATTTAATCCTACCCAAAATTGTAGGTATCTTCAAACAGTTTAATTACTCATTCTTTTGTCCTCTTCCTTGGAACATATAATTTCATGTCAGAAAGCATATCTCCTTTCGAGCTTTTCATTACGTTACGATCTAAGTAAATTCGCAAATAACGTGGCATTGAGCCTTCCCTTTTGATACTTGATACTTTGGCATATACCTGGCGTACTATCGTGGGGATGTGTCCCTGGTAGGTACTAACAGTTCTTCTTCAACTTCGCGTCGTGCCATTAAACTCGTTGCGCGTGCTTTAAAGACTTGATTATACACGTGTATCTTAATATACTATTTAGAGAAAAGAAAGAACGATGAGAAACTCAAGAGAAAACTCAAAAACTTTGAGGGTTCAGTATTGAGTGAAGGTACAAACCCTAAAAAACGTATTTAAAAAAATGCGGTGTAATAATGTAACTACCTCGTATTGTTTATATGCAAATACAGATCCATAAAAACGATTCAATGGAGCACACAAGAGACATCAAAAGAAGGAGAGAGAAACCACTCCAAATAGTATGATAAAGTGAAAACAATAATCCCTTTATCAGCGTATCAAGAGGAAACACTTGCACGTAATGCAAAAGTAGAAACTTTATTATTATCACTAAGTCTTAGAGTCGTCGGTGTGTGAGTAACATGCCGGTGTGCGTATGCGGTAAAAATATAAGTCGTTATGATGATTCCATTGCATGCAATGGCAATTGTGGTGGTCTTTTTCATATCGAATGTGTGGATCTAACTGTTGAAACGAGTGTTGAAAGTTACACTGTACTACAACGCGATGGTTTAATCCACTCGTGGTTGTGCAAAATCTGCGATGGTGCTCCTAGTAAGTCGGAAGTCACCATGGATGTTACTCCTAAAGTATGTATAACTGAGCTTCAATTAAATTGTTTAATATCCATGCAACATTTAACTAAAGAAGTTGTTTTGCCGTTGAAAGCGGAATTACATGCTATCAAAGAGCAAAATAAGTTCATTCTATCAGCTCTTGAATCACTATGTAGCAAGAACATCAGCCAAGATACCGGTAACAATGTCAGAAGTTACTCTAATGTCACTAAAAGTAAATCGAAAGTGAAGGACACCATCTCCAATAAGGAACAAGTGCGAAATGATAGTTTGAAAAATACTACGGAAATTCCGTCAAATCTGTCAAAGGTTAACGATAAAGTTCAAATCGAGTCATTGAATAAAATTATTCATATAAATAATTATATCGCGTCAGACAATCCTTCCCCCGGTGAAGATGGTCAATAATGGCAAACCTGTGTTATATGTTAAAACAAAAGGAAAAGACATGTTTGTTTAACATAACTTTATTAACTGAACGCCTGTATTTGATTGCACGTCCGACTCTGCTTGCGCTGTTGCCGGTTCTCCCCTTGTCACTTACTTAATCTATCACATCTCCCTTATCATAATAATTACATAACAATTACAGATTACATAAATAAAATATTACAAACAATTGTTTACAGTCATTTACAAACATAATTGTGTAAGTACATCGGTGGTCTTACTTGTCTAATTGGTCTTATTGTGCGCTGCTCATTTACCTCATCCCTACTTTCTGCAATTAATTGTTCACCTTCTCCTATCTCTATCAACTTCGATGCGTTAGACCAGAACTTAGGTTTATCAGAAAAGGTAATTGGTATAATCTGTTGCTGAGTTCTCAAATTATTACTAGAATGTAATGGTTTGAGGAACCATGTATTTCGAAGTTTAATTCGACCATTTTGGTCTTTAATTTTAAACGATCTAGGATTGTCACCTAAGTTCACAATTTCTCCACGACACCACGTCTTACTTTTATCATTCTCTTTATACAACACCTTTTGACCTGGCACGAAATTGTGAGTTTGAGTCCTAGCGGTTCGGTCATAGTAAGCTTTCTTCGTAAGAGAGTTCTTAAGCAATTCGTCACGAAATTGAGAAACTACTTTGGGAGCCAATGACTCATTGGTAATTGGCAATTTAGTCCTACATAATCTACTAAACAGTAATTGCGCTGGTGAGTATGGTGTCCCTAAGACTGGAGTGTTACGATATTCCAGCATTATATTAAATATATCACCCTGGATATCGTCACATTTGTTTAACATTGCCCTACAAATGCCCACACCTCTTTCTGCGAGCCCATTACTTTGATGATAGTATGGGCTGGAGAATGTCAATTCAAATGACCAGTCTTGACTAAATTGTCTGAACTGTCTCGAGTTGAAAGGCATATTATCAGCATACAACTTGGAAGGTATACCATGCGTAGAAAATATGCTTTTCAGTACTTTAATTATTGAATCGGCAGTTTTTGATGATAGTCGTACAAGTTCTATCCATTTAGAAAATGTGTCTATCAATACTAAATAATCCTTGTTGCCATAATTCAAAATGTCACAAGCTACTATCTGGAACGGAAGATCTGGTTGACTTTTTAGCAACATTGGTTCTTTAACATTGTTTTTGGAGAACTTTTGACAAGTCTTACAATTGGTTATATACTCTTCAATGTCTGAGTTCATGTTGCGCCAATAAAACAAGTTTTTGGCCCGACCCTTGGTCTTTGTCATGCCTAAGTGACTTTCATGAAGCTTTGCCAGTATTTCCGGCTTTAATGCTAGCGGAACAACTAGTTTATTATCTTTATATACAATTGAATCTTGGATAGAAATATCCTGCTTAAAGTTGTACCAAAATTTTGCACTATCGTGTACTTTGCTTTTACAATTAGGCCAACCATTTTGGAAATAATTTGCCAAGTGTGCCAGAATTGAATCATTTTTTGTTTGCTCCTGAAATTTAGACTTCAAATCGTTTGAAATATTAACGGAATGGACAACATCGGCTAACGACGAATCAGTTTCACATCGCTCCGACTTTGAGCAAGCTCTGCTAAGAGCATCAGCTACATGCATTTTGCATCCGGGCAAGAATTTGACATCAATGTCATAAATTGTGAGTTTTAATCTAATCCTCTGAAGTCTTGTGGAGGGAATTTTGATTATCTCTTTTCTCATTAAAGAAATAAGTGGCAAGTGATCTGTGTAAACAGTGGTTTTTCTTCCATATATGAAGTTATGGAATTTTTTGCAAGCGAACAATATGGCAAGAAATTCCTTCTCAATTTGCCCATAATTTATTTCGATTTGAGATAAAGCTTTTGATGCGTAGTAAACAGGTTTGTTTTCCTGTAGGAGTACACATCCTATACCATTTTTACTAGCGTCTGTTTGTATAACTACAGGTTTGTTGTGATCAAAATTTTGTAATACAGGCTGTTTGGTAATTATCATTTTTAATTTGTTGACAGTTTCAGTATGTAAATCTAGCCACGTAAATATTATGTTTTTCTTTAACAACTCTCTTAAAGGAGCTGTTATTTCTGCTAGGTCAGGAATAAAAGCTCTTAAGTAGTTAACTACACCCAGAAATCGCTGAAGCTCAATCTTATTAGTCGGCATATCATAATCACAAATACCTTTGATTACTTCGACATCAGGTCGCACAGTGCCCTTGCTGAATATGTGACCTAAGTATTTGACTTCATGCAACATATACTTAAATTTATTTAGGTTAAATTTTATATTAAATTTACGAGCTCTTTCAAAAACTGTATTTAGTGTAGCACAAACGTCTGTTTTGGATTGCCCAAATATTAAAATGTCATCAATATATATGAACACACCACTAATGTCACCAAATATTTCAGTTAAATACTTTTGAAACACTTCTGAGGCAATATTTAAGCCAAAGGGTAACCTTTTAAATTTATACATGCCATACCTACATAGTGGAAAATGTACAATAATTGGAACTACAATCATCTAATGGTATATGCCAAAAGGAATCTTTTAGATCTAATACACAAAATAAATTGGCATCCTTAATTTTACATGATAATTCCCCTAGGGTTGGTATTCCATAACAGTCTTTAACAATTGCTTCATTTAGCTCACGGGGATCTAAACAAATGCGTATATCACCAGTCGGTTTTTCTACTACTACTAACCTATTTACCCATGCGGTTGGATTATCAACTTTACTTATTATATCTAGACTTACTAATTTTTGTAATTCAGCTTCTAACTGTGGTTGAATTTTGATCGGCACACGATGTGGTGGCTTTGAAGTAGGAATACTACCTTCCTTAAGCTTAATAGTATATGGTTTATTTATTTTACTTATACCTTCAAACAAGTCTTTATACTCACTAACAAAATCGTCCTTTAACATATGCACCTTGGCTTCATTCACATGGTGCCGCTTAACTAACTTAAACTTCACACAAGTGTCTCTGCTGAGAATTGGAATGGACTGTTCCTGACCTGCGACATAAAAACGTTCATAACCTGAATTTTTACCTATTTGTATTTTTAAAGATACGATTCCTTCAACATTAGTTTTGAAACCGTTCCAACTTTCTAGACGTGCTGTACAACCCTGTAGTCTTATTGACGGCAACACTTTCTTCAACTTCTTATATATGGGAACTGGTATGATGTTAACATCCGCACCTGGATCCAGCTTGAACATGACGTCCATTTTATTTTCAATGTTGACAGTTTCCATCCACGCCACAGAATCTACGTTGGCTTGAATAATGGAACCACAAAAGTAATTCTCCTCGTCGTCCTCTAGGATGTTCTCATGAACTTGCTTGCGAGAGTATGTAGTCGTTTGCGTTGATCGGCACATTTTTGCAAAATGGTTCCTTTTTTGGCATTTTGCACATGTCTTATTGGTTGCAGGACAATTTCCTACACTAAAATGAGTGAGACCACACTTATCACAAATGTCAGTCTTTTTGATAAAACTTGGCCTTGCTTTCGGTCTTGTTTGTTTCGTAACGGTAGAGTGGACATTAGGTTGTGTTGATAAGATATTTTGAACTTGTATATCCGTGATGTCTGCCAATGTTAGAGATTTTACCACCTCATCTAGCTTGGGGTTCCCTTCTTTGATTAATTTAGTTTTTGCATCTTGATTGGTTGACCCGAAAACAAGTTTGTCCCGAAGTATTTCGTCGGCATCACTATATTCGCAGGCTCCAATTAGTAACTTGACATCAGTATAGAACGAATTAAATTGCTCGTTAATCTGGTTACCGTTACCAGATGTGGAATATTTGTTAAATATCTGACAGTCTGAAAAAGCATCAGGAATATTACGGACTACTTTAAGGACGTAAAGAACATTTAATAATTGAACTCGTACTACCAACTGCAACTCATAGAAAACGTATAATGTTACATTCTTGAACAGTTTGACACTTTAAAACACGCTTTTAATGCGCCCACATAAAACGGCCATAACACTCTTGCTGCGTAGTAAATTGCTAGGATTACTGTTAATGCAGTAAATATTTAAACTTTCATTCGATTTTTCATCCCCAATCCGCAAGGGCTGAGTTATACTCGTATAAGGCAAACAATAGAATTTAGCTAATTTTAGCTAATAGTAATATGAGTTTGGAAGATTATGCAAATATCTGCTGCTGTCTATTTTGGCATTTCATTGTAATCTGTAAATTATCATCAAGTTTCTGACACTATATCTACCTATTCAATTAGTTACGCGAACGAGCAAGTTTCAGAAAGATTTACGAGAAATGAGATCCCAGACTAAGTAAACTTGTGTGAGCACACACATTCGTTAACTACAGCTTGATTTCGTCGCGGTATGCGGTTTGATCTATGCATAACGTTTACTAAAGACATTAATTTCGCAAAGCCGATATAATCAAACTGAAGGCACGTCTCGTTCAATATAAATTAAGCGTGGAAAAGTTATCGCATTATGTGTGTTTATACCCTCTGAACCTGTCGTAGGTTGGTACGAATGAGTTTTTTTGTTAATCTGTGTTGAGTTGATTAATGTTATTAAATCGATTTTTAGCTCCTCAAAGGAAGTGTACATAATTTTGACCACCTTCGCCCTGTACTATGGTAAACGTCGAAGCAGACCTTTTCTGCCTTAGAGTCCTCTTTTGGAATCTCAATATTGCTAACAAACGATCTCTGTATGATTCTTATTGAAAGTAATAGTACTATCAACAGTGCCAGAAACCCCTCCAAATCCGGAAAACGTATTTTCAGTACATTTTCTCTATGAATAGCACAGTTATGTGTATTTTTGTGCGTTTTTCCAATGTTTCAAAATCAGCTAAGCACATTATCGAACGATATATGAATGTGTTTAGAAAAACGTGCGGAAAGCCTGACATAATCCTGGGTACGTATAGAAACATGTATCTTGAGACCTCTTATATCCTGGGTCGTAATTTGGGCGCAATTAAACACAAAGGTAATCATTTACAGATGAAACAAATTTATTCGACAAAGTCAATCAATACAACTGTAAGAAAAAAATGGTACTCAAGGCCAGAGGACAAATACCACGAAACAAGCGATCAATTGAGGCCAATTAAATTTACATTCCAAGGAACAAAGGGACAATGCTGAACTGTCGAATTTGGAGATTGCATTCCGACTATTTGGATAAGTATAATTAACCGTAATTAGTTGAATGGGTTACAGTAACAGTCTCTGATTGAGTCGAGATTACATTCCTTAGGTGTGCTCTTAAAACACTTTAATTTTGATACCGTCTCGTATTTTTAAGACGTTTGGGAAGGACGTAATTAATAAAAACCATTTTAATTTTCGAGCGTTAGGCGCCGTCGAGTTGGAAAGACCGTCGTTCCCCCCATCGCATAGGTGAACGCTTAATTTAGAGGTGATATTTTGCATTTTGTGGTTAAGCGAAACGTACAAACGTACACTTTTTCGCCTTCTGCAACTGTTTGTCTTTGATATTGAACCGTATTTAAATCTTTCTACCTTTTCCATCTTTACAAGTACAGTAATTTTGAGCTTCCTACCATTGCTTTCCCGTAGAAACCGTTACCGAATCCGATTAATTACTGTTCCCGCTTAGGGAAATTGCTGCGCGCTTTAAGTTTTAACTTGTTCCAGTAGCCGCCCACCGCTTGCCCTTTAGAATTCCTGGAACCGCAGTTCTCTATTCGAGTTACCCGGAGCCTACCATCGCCGAACAAGCAAGAGAGACCGGAAACTTCTGGTGGCGCCTTCACCGACTAAAGATTTCGAGTTGTAAATTACCGTTGGATGTTCCATTTTCTTATCTATAGCATTCAATTCCATTTTTGAAATTATACCGTTAATTTTTTTGTGTAAAGGAGAACCTAAGCCACTGTTGGTGCACCAGCTTCCGGCGAAAGTTCGTATCACAGAATTCAACTATTACCAAATATCCCTAAATTTGTTAACACTTACAAATCAAAATTACAGGAAACAACGTTGACTTCAAATTCAATCAAAATGATCGAAACTGTGTTCAATCTTAAATTAGCGACCACCTTTAAACTTAAAAATTGAAATTAATATTATACAGGGTAGCCCATCACTATTACAGGTGCCGATTACAATAAAACCGTCAGCATGACCTACTATAGTAGTTTACATAACAGTATAGAAAATTAAAGAGAGAAAGAGAGTTCGGTGACCTCATTTCGAAGAAATGGTGACATAAATAAAACCTTCCGTCCTTAAACAGTCTTCGTTGAAAATCAGAGAGGCATAAATCGCATTTTTTAAAGTAATATTTTACTGACGGCAGAACTCAAGTAATAAGCGGACAAATTAGCGTGTGCGGGGTTTAGAATTTGGCTTTCTTACTTCTTTTCACGCAAGTTCATTTTCCATACTATTATAGACAATTGTACCTAAGCGGATCTAAATGGTTCTACCGTATCACCCCAAAAGCGACACAGTTTTCAATTTTTCTTGAAGGGAGCCTTTTTCAACAAAGGGCTGTACCATTTGTAACCTAAAGAAACATCGATTTTAGCGATATCTGTAAGTTACTTTAATTTTAGTTATTCATCCCGACCCACCTCTACTTTGCCTGAGCTTAGCGTGCGCCAATCACATTCCTTCTCAGACTCATTATCGTGATCGGTTGTAATTCCTCATATCTCAAGAACGGATTGTCGGAGACTCGGAGAAGGATACTCACAAAGACAAAATGAATCGTCTGGACGAGACATCTATTGGTAAATTCGAAGCGAATATCTTGAAAATGAAGTGTTAGAAGAAGGTACTCATAACGGGCAAGTGGAACGTCGAGAAGATACACATCTACTGGTGATATCCAAACTTTTAGTGCAAATATCTGCAGAACGGAGTCTCAGAGGAGGGTACTGGCTGAAAAAAAGGTCTAAATGAGACACTTACTTAATAAATTGTGAATATCTCGAAAATGTTGGATGAAAGCAATGATTCTTTAATATAGGATTGCCTAACCCCTACACCCGTAATGTTGCCCGCGTTAAGGGCATAGTTTTAGCCAAAAGTTAAGTCTAATCTATTCAATATTCTCATTTCCCATCTCGACCATTTATGAATCGAATTGCAAACTGTTTATTTATGAAGGTTCAAAATGTACCATCCCCATAAGTTCTTTTGCTATATTTGTTTACACATAAATTATTTATTTCTTTATCAGTGTTGCCATTGCCTTATCTATATATTCTGACTTCTTTGATGGAAATTCACACGACTGCTGATTCCTACGCACCAAATTCTGATCTTCAGGACTACAACACGAGATCCATGGGGATCTCATCTTCTTCTCCGGTCATAGATAAGAGTTGCGCTTTTCGATGAAATGGCTTAGTGATTGCCATTGTACGCAGCAATATAAAAGTAAAATCATGTCGAAAATAATATGTAAACTCGTATAATTCAACTGAATTGCAATGGCAATATCAAATAATTTGTAAAATATGAGTTACTCTGTACAGAAGGACGTCGATCCTATAGTGCACATTGAGGAATATGTAGAATAAAAGTTTGTTTTTGTATACATACATGTTATTCATCAATGAATGCAAGGGATTATGTACTAGCAGCGGCTAAGTTTATAGAATTCAAAGCGTACAATGTGTATTTAACAAAATAAACTGTGAAATTAGAGATACTGTAAAGGAATCTGGAGCGTTCTAGGATAAGGATTCTGGTTAAATGGTAAACTTTAAGGAATGTTTACTCTTCCTTTGCTCTGTGTGTATAATCCAAACAAAGATGCTTTGTATGAAAAAATATGTACCCAAAATTTAATATAAAGACAATCGCTGAACTACGGTTTCACCATGTTCTACCACATAGTCGAATGTATTTATACTGTGAATACAGAAGTTCCAAATTATATAGGAAGAGAGAGGCGTTTCGGTTGATTTTCCGTTATCTGTCTTTAATTATAAATGAATTTTTTAGTATATTTAGCTAAATCGATTTGCTTTATGACCTAATTTGGAATCCATTATTTACCGCATCGTCAGTGTTAAAATTTTAATCATTACGCTGCTGTGCTCTTACTTTTTGTCAAAAGAAAAACGGAAAGCGATTCACAGAAAGGTGTCATACAGGGGCGAATAGTGTAGGTGCAACCGCCTGAAGTGTACGCGACATTAATTAACGCACTGCCTACGCATTGTGCCAATAGCAAAAAAATTACTTATTTACACCTTAAGAAGGGTAAGCAATCAGAATGTTCCAGTTTAGGCGAAAAAGGTTCGTGAAACCAAATATACAACCTAACCTAATCAGGAATTCTATTACGAGAATCAGACTTAACATGAATTATTTAACATTTCTGAATAATAAATACGTCCGGTTTATTACGTTTAAGATTAAACTAGCTTTATTTTGGATTTGGTATTTAATTTCGGAATAACTTTATTGCAACGTTCCATGAAAAACAGTCTTAGTTTTATGGCCATTAAAAGTAAAAGACGTACTTGAATCTATTAAAGCAGATTATGTAGGTATCTACATAAAATTCTTCCTCGTCGCGCTTCTGATTCTAAATTCTCGCAAGTGAACTAAATATCGCGAGACACACAAAAGTTAATTAATACGAAACTCGATACTCGCCCTTTTTTTCCGCATCTTTGGAGAAGTGAAGGAAAAGTGTTGTGAAAATTTTTTGAGCTTCCGAATTCCTGAGATAATTTCTCGGGAATTCCCAAACTGAGAAAAGGTAATTCTTATTCTAATCAAATCACAAACGGGGTGCAAACACTCGAAATCTCCATTAAAATCTTTTGTTCTAATGAAAACAAGACTGAAATTGCGCAAAATTTATATCTCCTCGCGAATTTTATTTGTTTTCTTATTAGTGCTGTTCAAATTTTAGACACAAAAGGTTCCTCCGTAATTTTAGAATGAGATAATATTTTTCTTGGGTTAAAATTCCATCAGTTGTCGCGAAGCAATAACAAAAGCAATTTAATTAGAGTAGAGACGAGAAAGACAATATCAAAGTTTCAAACTTGCCTGCAACGAGTGGTTTATCTTCGCCCCTTCTGTTATGGGGTAATTTAGGGATGCATTGAGTATTTCGCGTGCCCGTTTGTGGAATACTTCGGAATGTTTATTTGAATCACAGGATCTGCACATCTTGTAATGTGTACCGCACTGCAGTACTTAACAATATGCATAGCACGACCACATTGGCATAGTTTAAATAAGTTCAGGATTACCATACAAATACCCGACCGAACCAGTCAGTTATTTTATCTACGACACTTTTCAATTAAGCTTTAAGGTTATCAACAGATAACGGGGCGGATTTACTCCCACTTCCACCTGCTGCTTCGTTTTACTGAACACCCCCTCATTAGTGAACTTACTAT